ATAACTGCTAGAACTTCGTTAATATTTCAAAATTTGTATGTAATAATGAAGGCATACTTATAACATTAATTGGAATAAATGAGAATACATAAAACTAGAAAAACATAAATAAAATACGCCCTTAAAACTATGTCAAGTGTTAGTAAAGTTTTTTCCCATTTAAAAAGCAACTAATTAGTCGTTTACTTTTACGAGGAAAAGAAAAAACTAAGAAAAAGAAAAGGAAAATCTGGAGTCGAGACAGTTTGATCGAACAAAGTCTCGTTCGTGAGAAGCGAAAAAGACGTTTCACATTTACGCGCACGTTTTGCCGAAAACACGTTCTAGACTGGATGTGTAAGAGAGAAGAAAAAAGAAAGGCAAGAGAAGAGGGAAAGAGATAGGTCCGTTCGGTCGTATTTGACAAAGTGCCAAAGGAAAGTTGGCGAGCATCGAAGCGCCACGTCGTTTTAACGAACGATCGGAAGTCCCGACCTTCCATCCGTAGTTAACGTAACCATTAATAATTACTCAACGAGAGGAAGAAACTTAGCCCTTATTCGTCTTATCATAATCCTTAATCCTTTTCAAAAGGAACGAACAGTTCGCTTTTATTCTAATTAAATGAAAAATCGTCCAAGGTCGGTTACGATCGCATAACGGCGAACTGAATAAACGCGCGTTCGCGCACGCTCCTAGATATATACTTTGACACACATACTTGTTCGTAACGAGACACTCGGACGTTAATTAAGTTAACGACCGTTAAAGTGGCCTGCGGAAATGAGAGTATGCGCTATGATCTACCTACGTACTTACAAGACTTACTTACTTACTTATATTCGTTCATTCCTTCTCTTCCTCTTTCTCTATCCTTTACTTACTTTCCTACTTAAATAACAATGTGTTTTATGCGATACCAGTGGTATGGTATAGTAGGAGAAAGCCGAACGTGGATACAAGATACTTAGACGTGGAATCAAAGTACAAGAGGAAGAAGACTATGTCCCACGGGTTCGCATTACAACCAGAGATACATTTAATCCAACAACGACTGAACGAAACGTCCAACTATTTATAGACTATGATTAGATACGTACTTTTAGAACTATAGTCACGAAAAGTGATTCCTTGTCTGGAAATAGATCCCACATAATTTGTATATATTTAGGATTAATATGAAATTGATATAGAAATTTAAATAAAATGAATTTTCTTGAATATTTTGATAAAATCTATTATATTGGAATCGAGTAATTCAAGTCTACGAGTAGCTTATACCCTTTACTATTTTTCGTCGAGACTAGCAAATAGTTCTGCGAGTAAAGTTGAGAGGAACCACTAAAGGAAGAAAAGAAAAAGATGGAAGCTTGGAAGGACGTATTCGCTATTCTAAATTTACAACCCACAGACGCGTTATCTACTTTCACGTATGCGTATCTATAAATCTACGGGTGGGCTATGGATCCGAATTTTCTCTTGGCGTGGTGTTGTAAATATCCGAGTGCTTCGGTACCCACCGGTGGCGTTCTCGGTGGTGCGGAAAGTGCTTTTGTTTTAAACGGATGATACGGGAGAGATAGACGCGAATTTAAATTCGAAATTTATTACGGTCTGAAACATCCCTCGTACCACCGAACAAGTAGACCTACCCATGTATGTACATACATTGTTATATTTTCTTTCTAAAGCAACGCCATTGATCGAATCTTCATAACACTTCTGCGAAAATATATTTTCAATTAGTATTATATATTTTTGCTGGTAAAATTCATAGAAATTTTTTAATAACGATGCCACTTAACAGCACGAATTTTTATGATTCATATCCCAAACGCTAAAAACCATTAAACTGTTATATTAATTACAGAAGTATTGTATCTAAATTTAAAATGATGCACACATAGAACTTCCCCCAATCAGATGAACAACGCAATCTCTCACACGTAACCCAAGTTAGCATTCTTAATCCCTAATAAATTCGTTTTACAGCATTTAATAACAGAAACGTGAAAATACATTCGCGCATGGATTTTTATCGTGAGAAATTTGCCAACATGGACGTTTAATACGTAACACGTTAAATAACGTTTTCGTCTATGTAAAGAGAGAAAAAGAAACATGTAATAATGAGAAACAATGCATAAACTCGTTCGTGATTTTATTAGATAGACATAAAAATCATACCGATTGAACATAAGCTGTTATATAGATCAATACATAAATACATACATCGATACGTGTATATCTCTGTTCGCGGATATAAGCAAATAATTGTTATCGGTGCAACAACGTTCCGTTTACATTCGGCCCTGACTGGTGCACGATTTCCCACGGATATGCGCTCGACGGTGTTATTTTCTATTGGCTCGCCTTACGGCCCGTTTTACGCATCGCTCCAAATCACCGTTGCGTGTACAAACACCAATTATTCTAGCTTCAAGATATACATATATATATATATATATATATATATATATGTAGTAAATGCCTGGTTATAATAGATACCTCGATGTAACAACGTTATTACTGCCCTATACCACTGAGATACGACATTCGGCGCGATAAATCATATGCCGATTCTCGAGAAGAAAACCATTAATTCGAATGAAATCGCAATCGTAAGAGGATGGAATCAAATTATTATCAAATTCAATCGATATCTACTTTCTTGATTAAACAGAGTAATTAATGAATACAGATTTGTGTCGAGAATAACAGGAAAAGTATGAAAAGTTTGTAGACAAAATGAAATCGACTAGCGTAATTACTGGTGCATACAATAAAATATAGAAATTATCTGTATTTTCAAATTCTATTTGACTTTCTAATAATTTAATCAAGTATATGTATTAGGGTTCAGATTTACTCTGTGAATAGAAGATGGTAAAACGTTATATAGCTATTTTGATAAAGAAAAAGAAAGAGGATGAGTAGCTTGATACGTATATCGGATAGGTTGGGAAAAGAGGGAGTTGTGTTATAACGGGAGCTTTACGACAGAACGGTTTAATTGTCCGTGCACGGCGGCGGTCATTTCACGAGGAGAAAGAACCTCCGGGAGGTTCTCCGTGCCAAGACGCAATCCGTACTACAAACGAGCATTTTCATTATAGGCCAGGGCCAGTCTGTTTTCGCGTTACCCTCCCGAATCGTCCCTCTAAAAAACACGAACAGACAAAAACAGATAAAATGAGAAAAATAGATGCTCAAATAGAAAGAGAGAAATGCCAAAACGGACGGAGAAAACCAGTTTTTTTTTAACGATTATTACCAATACTGCTTCACTTAATAATTTATCTAAATGTTTCTTGTAATAGTCACGAAGTTTTAGAAAATCTCATATTTACAATTTATTCATAAAAATTGGGAGTTTTCAAGCCCGATTTTTTCGAAATAATTTAACCCTCTCTTTTTGCATATACAATCACCCCTACCATCAGACCAATATTCGCTTGGTTTTACCGCTCGTACGGATACACCCTTAATACTTATATTGAAGAACAGTAAAGTATTCTCATTGAGGTGTTTTCATATGCACGTTCTTGTATAGAAGCTTTTAGCACCAGTAGTGTCGGCACGAGGTCCTGTTCCTAAAGCACGCGACTTGGGACAGTTATCGCATCGCTAAAACCTATACACTATACATACGTACCCTAAGAGCATAATAGTACAACTCCATTAGGCCGTAAAGGATAAAAGTTATCGGCGCATACTCCCAGCTCCTACTCGTAAATACGACTCGCACTCCCCTACTTTTCTCTCTCCCTCTCACTAGTTTCGATACTAAATTCATTGCATCAGAATCACTGTATTTTATTCGTCAAGGAATTCAATAGTTGTCCGTAAGATGTATCCAAGTTTTGGAAAAACAACAAATTAATTGGCAATATAATTTAATTGCTTACTTAGCAATCCGATATTTATAAAAAACGTTCGAGTTCGATTTGTGGAATATTTGGAGAGAAAAAAGTAGCCGAGAGAGAAAGAGTGAAAATACGATTGAGAAATGAAGAGAAGTAGCGGGAGTAAGTAGTAAGGAAAGGTGGAAGGTGGAAGGTGGAAGGTGGAAGGTGGAAGGTGGAGGTGAGAGGGAGAAACGTCCATTATCGACTCATTCACCGTGACCGTATGCGTTTCCTCGCGCGTATACGTACGAGCTCCTCGACATCCAACCTTGGACGGGAAGCTTTCCATTGCGCAGTAGGACACGCATTCCTTCCTATGCTCGATTGGTATGTCGAGGTGAGCAACGGCATGCAACGGCATGCAACGGCATCCAATATTCGCCGATAGGTCGCGGTTACGACCTCGTGAATTCCTACTTTTTCTCTTTCTCTCTTTTTTTCTTTCTTTTTATCTACATAGTCAACGAATGTTTTTAATCTGATCTACCCGTGGGAGAATCGTGTGGGAGGGAAGCTATTTCGTCCCTCGCATTCTTCGATCCTTCCTTCCCAATTCTTCGCTCTTCTTGATTTCGTAATAAGTATTGAGAAAGTACTGTGAGTAATATTTTGATATCGATAGTTGCTTTTTAAGACAGCTTATTACCCGTATTTGTATTTTTTTCTTCCTCTTTCATTATATACAGTAGAATCGAATAAAACTTATTGAACCAAAAGTAATATCTACGTGATACACAAACAGGTCTACCTAATATTTTATTTTCTACTAATTTCATGACTTTTAGAAACACTTTGATTGCATCGAAACAAATTTTTAATCGATTCTACGTACACTTAGATTTTCTTTACAATACTGAAACATTTATGACTCGGTAAGCCGCGTGAACGATTAAGTGGATTTCCTCCGATCATGATCGCTCGAATAAGCAAAGTATTTACTTATATATACACATACACACACACATATATACATATGTAAATGGGTATCAGGAACGTTTCTAATGTAAGAGAATCTCGGAACTTCACTTTGGCCTTTAACGAACAAACCATGGGGTTCTAACTGCGCCACCAGCTGCTAGAATCGCTCACCATCTAACATTCTATTGTACTCACCAATATCGTCGTAGAGGCAGTGTTAACGAGCTAAAATCGTAGAGCTGCTGCATATTGCATTGCTACTGTAATAGTGAAAGGAAGAATAAAAAAGGAAGTTTGACAGGAGTTAGGGTATGCACATAATGTATATCACTCTCCAGCAGCACACATACAATATAATTTCCATAGGAACAAACACACACGCGTATACGCGACGCGAAATAAATTGAATACTTATTTTATATAGATCTTACATCTTCCGACGCTCGAAGAAGACTAACAACGAAATGGGAAATAACTACTCAGTGTACCCGACGAACACCGAAAGTACACGAAGGTTAATGTGCTTAGAAGTTCGATGACGAAATTTTAAGCAAAGAAACCAAACACAACATTGGAATACAGACGCCGGCTGAGGAGTGAGAGAGATACGATTGATTGAGAGATACATTGAACGACTAAGAGACGATATTTTCTATTAGGAAATAAAAAAGAAAAAATCAAAAGAATTATCTCGAAAGGTAAGTTTTTCTTTTGATAGTTCCTTTCTTATTATTTCCTTTTTCTTTAAATTCTTTGTTATCTTATTTTTCCACGGTAAGCGGAACTTTCGCCGATGCAGAAAGGTCTTATTGAAATGCAGAGGTACCCTCCGAAGTGGAAGTCACTTTCGGGAGTCCCGAAATAACAGGCTAGCGGACAACGTGCGGAGAATCCTTCGCTTCCTGAAACGGCCATCGGGCGAGATACGAATTCGTAATTGACGTGGTGGCACTCACTATACGTCAGCTTTATACCCAAGCATTCTCCACGAACAAACAAGAGAAAACCTAAATAAAAATAACATCCTCCGTTTTCGTTTCTCCTACTTTTTCATTTCTCCGTTGTATATCAATTCTGACAATTACAAACTCAATTTCCTATGTCTTTTTTACTTTTCATCCAAGTTAAAGATCATCTCTTCTAACAAAAAAAACTTTTAAAAAGAACGAAAACAAAATTCTACAAGAACGCGGAGAAAAAAGCATAGAAAATTGAATTCGACCGAGGAAGTAATTTTCGTTTTTGAAAGATCGCCTGTCAAATTTAATAGCTCGTTCGTCGTAGCAGCGTCACGGTTGCAGCACCATCACCAGCACCAACAGCAACAGCAACATAGAGCTGCATCCGTGCGCTTTATTTTTAAATCCTCTCCTCTCCCGTATGACCGTGGAAGGGGAGGACGAAAAAAAAGAGATGAAAGAGGAGGAGAAGGACGACGAAGCCAGAGTTGCACTCGCGGAATCGTCGATACGTCCGTTTGTTCGTCGAAAAAAGAAGGAAGTTTGGATAAAAAAGGATACGAAACGAACGAAATACGTGCGATTTTATCATTTGACGCTCATGCATATTCATCGAAGGACGAACCACGTTTATTCTCTCTCTCTTTCTATCTTTTTTCTCTCACACACACACACATACATTCTTTCTCTTCGTCTCTTTTCGTACGAATACCACGTGTCGGTATTCCGTATATACGAATATCATGATACGAACGGCCACGATACGACGAACCCGCAACTGGTGGCAATTCCTTTTTCTCCCCCCATCCCATCCTCTAACCACTATTCCTTCCCACTCTCTCTCTCTCTCTCTCTCTCTTTCTCTCCGTTCCCCTAACAACCCCTCTCAACGTCCCTATCGTTTTCGTCCGATTCCACGCGGAGGTTATCCACGAATGTTTTACCCCGTCGTCGAAAAAAAAGAAAAGGAAAGAAGACAAACGGAAAGGAAGAAAAACAAGAGAAACGATTCATGGACGCTAGTTACGACGAGTTGTTCAGGAGATGGCGGCAATTACGAAAGCGATGACGCGTACTTACTTACCAACACGTTCGTATATGTGCATATGTGTACTACTGGAATATGAGTATACACGTGGTCGAGTATGGGTGTATATATATTTTTCAACATATGAACATTTTTTAAGCGCAAAGTTGCACTAGTAGATTATTCGTGGTAAGGAATATTCTAGGAAGAAATATTCGGCGGAAATTGGTTCATTACAATGTGAGAATAATTAATAGGCTTTTCGCTAATAAGATAGTTATGAGTAAAGAAGGTAATTAAATGAGAATACCTTGAGCTTTTCTTCTACCTTATTGTCAGTCTTAAGGTTTGCCACTAATTTTCTATTATATCCTGTAGAATTTAATTAAAGCTCTATTCATTCGTATAATATTACTGCTGAGACTCAAAGTACCATAATGACAAACTTTTTGAAACACTTCTATACATTGTGCGTATTTAATACATCCGCGAATTTTTTGATTGTAGAAAATTATAAAATATCTAATATTTGAAAACATGAAGTCTATATACTTTATCTTTATGCTCCAAAAATTTTCAACTTAACGTTTAGCGTTAAACGTAGTAGGGAAATCGCGTTATGATTTACCTGACGTATCGAGAATATGTCAGAACGGAAAGGTTCGACGTTCTTCGCACGCGCTGATACACAACGTGATTCTACGACACGATATCAAGGCTATCATACGCGTTTGTCGTATATATAAAATATATATGTACATACGTATGTATATATGTGTGTGATCATGTACTAGAAACAACGTGACACGAAGCAAAATACGATGAGGAATTCGTTATCAAACACTCGATATTGAACGTATACTACGTATTTACAGGAAAAGACAGATAGCATTGCATCGTAAACATTTTTTAAAATGGTGTCTTGAAAAATGTCTATGCTTTCGATTTATATATATATATATATGTATATATTTTTTAATTATTATCGCAACACAATAATTGTTATACTTCATTTTTTAAATCGTCTAGCTATAGTTTAAAACATCCTGAAAACGTGTATGAAATTTATTTGATTAATATAGAATTTATGCTTGCCGATTGTGTTATTCGAACAAATGCACAATCAAAACTGACCTATTCGTAGCACAGCTGTTATTTTGCCTTCGTTCATTCGTTCGTTTGTAGTGCTGTTTTTCATTTTTTATCTCTTTCTTTCTTTTTCTCTGAACCACACGAGTGCATATAACCAACCGAACGAAAACATCAGCGTTGAGTTTTCATCGTTCTTGCGCAACTCGTCGCTTCGACCGTTCAAATTTCGTCATAGCAATTTCCCACAGTCAGTGGGCATGGCCTCGAGACGAGGCGCCTGAATTATCAAAGGAAAAAAGCGTCGGTCGTTGTGCGTCCTGTTGCAAGAAAAAGATACCCAAAACAAAAACTTAATGCTAAGAGAAAAAGAGAGAGAGAGAGAGAGAGAGAGAGAGAGTAAGAGGCGTTACACAAACTCGAACGTACATCCTGATCTTCACCCTCATTCGTTCAAATTTACCCTCACTTTAACCATCTCTTTTTTCTCCCCATCATTCCCATCTTTCTTCCATTTCTTTTTCTGTCTATCTGTTCTTCTTTATTTTTCTCATTTTCATTTTCTTTTCTCTCTATCACTCTCTTTCTTGCCTCTTCTATTTCTTTTAATCATTATCTTTTCTTTCATCTTTTTCTGTATCTTTTTCTCTTCATTTATATACAAGACAGTCTTGCATAGTAAGACTAGTTGGTCAAAGTTCACTCTTTCACCAACCTTACTCTATTGGTACACTTTTTTACAGTGAAGGTCTCGACACGATTTCGTGCCCGTTGTGCGTAACGAATGGGAAGAGAGGAAGAAAAAGTACTGGAGGAGTTGTCAGAATGAAAAAACAAAAAAGTGAAAAAAAGAGAGTAAGAGTAACAGGGTGAAAAAGAAAGAGAGATAGATAGAGAGGAAGAGAGGGAAACTGTGGGTATGCGAAGGATCGATACGGTCACGAGGATTTAGTAAGAGGGGGTGTTTTCGTTATTTTTGTTTCTCACGAATTACTTTGAATGCCAAGCCGTATCCTGCTAGAAAATTACTCGATCGATTCCCTCTCACGAGATTTAAAACCTCGTAGCTTCGATGTCGAGACTCGATGCTTCCAATAGCTTACGAGATTGTAAATATTTGATATATATATGTATATGTATATAAATATACATGTGTATGCAGATACACACACGCACATGACTAAAAGATCGGAATACACATATATAAATACGTATATACACATATAGAAATTGACACACATGTGACTAGAAGATAGGAGTACTAGAACGCCTAGGAGATTTAACTCTGATGGATGAGCGTTCTTCTATGCTATTTTTGTTTCTCACAAATTACTACGAACGTCAATAGAAAATCACTCCAATCGATTTTGTTCTCCTCTCTTCTCTGTGAAAATTTAAAACGAATGGTTTATACTGCGATATAAACTCGATAATAATTACGAATGGCCCAGGCTAGCTTACGACTACTAACATAAATCTAATTGTAAGATAAATATTGAAATAGATGTCGTGATTAGAAGATCAGAGAAGACTTTCGAGTGAAAGCTAATGCTCGATTATCAAGATTATCAGAGTCACCCGTTACATCGCGTTAAATCATCAACGATGATTTGAGACGCGCCTTTGACGATGAAACGAGACAGAGAGGAACAAACGAACGAACGAACGGAGCTTTGCCTTTAAGCCTGACACGATTGCTGCCAATGTTGTGTCTCATTGACGCCGCGTGTTGGCTTGCTTGCTGCTTGTTTGCTTGCTTGCTTGCTTGTTCCACGTTCTCTATGAATAGATTCCAAGCTCCCAGTACATTCGTCATATTTCTCTCTTCTTCCTTCCCTCTTCCCTTGCAAACCCCTTCTCCCCTATCTATCTTTTTCCTTGCATCAGTTCTTCCCTCTCTCTCTCTCCGTTCCACCCTCTTTTTTACTTTCTTCTTGTTCCCCTTCTATCTATTTTTTGTATTCCACTCTCTTTTTCTATTTTTCTCTATTTCCTACTATAGATGGCAATCGTATAAGTTTACAACTGACTTCTCCATTAAAGCATCCAGAGCAAAACGCTCGAACAGTTGTGTCGCGCCGCTAGCCGTATTCGTCCTGACCGATCGTGACGCGGCTGTTATTATGTCGAAGAAGAGGAGAACGGCTTTTGACCCCTTCTCAATGCACGACGACTTACGTAATGCCTACTAAGTTATCTACTCGATTTATCTACTCGAGCCCAACTCTAGAGGTTGTTGCTTAATAGATCCTTACGATATTTTCTAACCTTTTCACGTGTATTTTTGATCAAATTTATGAATATATATATATATATATATATATATATATAAAATAATGAAATCATATATCCTTATTAACTACGAAATGAATCATGTCGAATATGAGCAAATATTTCTTAAATTCTCATTAATTTTCCCCCATTCCTGCCATCTATCCTTTCAATTCTAGACTCGAGAAGTATGCAACGCAAGTATGAAAAGATCTTTTCAAAGATCTATCAAGGAGGATCCAGAATCCTCGACATAGATACTACGAATACCGAGGGACATCTATCTATCTCTCTTTCGCATAGATTTATTGGATGCGTCGCATTAACTCGTGCTTCGTGTATTATTCGAGTTATATCGAATGCAAGAATAGGAATCTATCTCCTCAAAATCATGCCACTGCATTTCTAATCGCATCCACAAATTATTACAAGATTCGTGTCACCCTAACAACGGAAAAAACAATAATCAAGTCCACGCGTTTGTTTCTACCGATATTCTCTTACCATCATCTCATTGTTTCTATCACAATTGTGATTTACGATACGTATTATCTTTATTGCAATCGTACCTCGTTTAACCATTTTAGTTTTCGTTGAAACATCAGCGTACAAAGTTGTTAACGTCAAACTTAAGGGGACATG